ACAAAATCTTTTACTTTTAAGATTTAAAACTTCTACAAGTTTATTTATAATGATGTGGGGTTTTAACTAAAGTTAAATCATTTGTTTGGACAACCAAAATAAATAATTTAAGAAAAAATCTAGTGATAATAGCAATTTTTAAGACACATAGTTAACATTAGGAAAAAGAAATTATTTAAATTGAATCATTCTTAGCTTTCCTAGTACATAAAAACTCTCTAATTATGTAATAGATTATAGAAATGTATTTTCTTCATCTCATTTAGTAGTAAATATAAGTATATTTATTGTTACTTGAACAATTTTTCAACTATGTCATTTCATTATTCGATTTGAAACTACTATGGTAATGTTAATTATTTGAATTAAAACTACAATTATTATAATTTATTGATAATAACCTTTCTACTATATAGAAAACAAAATATATTTATATATCTATATATATTTATAAGACTTATCCACTGTTTTTTAGTTTCTTACTAGGTGAGAGCTTGCACTACGTGCGGGTTTTGTCTTTTCCGAATATTATAAAATTGTGATTTAACAATTTTGTAAAAGTTGATGCAGCAGATTAATATATCGTTTGTTATATGCTGCATGATGTTAACAATATTGGAAAGCATTCGAAAAGAGAGACATAACAACATTTAGAAAAAATATATGACGGTAATACTATGGATTCGAGAGTTTCCAATCAAATAAAAATAATGTGATTAATCATGACTAAATTAGTTATCATTAATTGTTTGAACAACTATGAGAAAGCTAATGATATTATTATATTGTAATATATTCGAATGTTTGAATCTTGATGTGACGATATTACTATATTGTAATATTTGAATGTATAACACAGTTTTTAAAAGTTAAAAAAAAAAACACGGCTTTTAAATCTTCCAAAAATATATAATTCTTCGATGACCAAATGAAAGCTATAATTGGTGGTCAGTGAGAATAGAAGAGTAAGTAAAGTAATTAGAACTACTGTCTCAGCAAAAAACTCACTTGAGAAACAAGAAAACCAAGATCATAATATATCTACATAAATCTTAAATGTATTGTGATTTAAATATGAGTTTTACCAAAGAAAACCAAGATCACGAACCTAAAAAAAACCAAACATGTTTGTTAAAAGTTGCTGAAGTGCTATGAAAATATGTCAGGAAATATTATAGATTTTTTTAAATAGTCTCTTGCGCTATTTTGTTAAATGTCTTCTGATCTAAAAGTTCGAAAATACCAATTTTTGACAATCGATACATAAATAGATTAGAAGAACGATCATATAATTTTATTATTCCCACCGTAAAATCAATAAAAAAGAACCTAAAGGGCTATGTTTTCCGTATCTTGGAGGATGTTTTTCTTGATTTCTTTGAAATTTTCTTTCTCTGTAGACAAAATGGCCATAGTCTTTCTAAACCAAGAGGCTTACCGTACAAAGCAAAGTTATTGAGACTCCTTTAAGCTAAAATCATGTTTCATTGTGGTTTCAAATAGAAGTTAAATCCCCTCCTAGCACAAATTGATCCATTAACGAAAGCAATAATAAAAAAATGTTTTCTTATCCTACCATGAATTAACATATATTTTAGTAAGGTGTTTAATACGACTTGTTCTTCTACTAACAACTTCATGCCCTCCAGATCCTTCCACTCCAATCCCGATAGTCCCCAAATTCATAAACTAATAAAAATACTCTTTTTTTAA